AACGAACAAAATAATTTATCATGAACACAAAGCCATTATTCTGTTACTTTTTTAGTATTACCAGAAATTACAAATGTCCGTTTGGTGACGGATTGAGAATACGCAATGTCACCTCCCCCTATTCAACCCGTGGGTGTCGTAAGAGCCGACTAAGGGAGCCTACTATGCAGGACATTACTGCAAAGAGAAGGAAAACTTGAAACAAACCTTGTACCAACCCGTCTGGCAAGCGTGGTATAGTAAGCCAAAACCTCATTTCTAATTAGAGACCTATGTCTAGCAGTCTATTATTAGAGGCTGTTGATAATGATGATGAGAAATTACAGTTCCTAGAAACAAGAACACAAAGTACTGGGTATGATAACCATACAAATGTCACAGATCTAATTAAAAGTAGTGCCTTAAACATCGAGGGACATAGGGACGCGTAACTAAGAAATAAGTTTAAGGACAATATTTTCTTCCTCCGACAAAAAAAAGAAAAATATCGTTAACTTCAATCGAATGCAAACAATTATGTTTTTTTTTCCAGTCACACATAATGTGATTACACGTCTTAACAAGTTCCATCAAAAACTAATGTAATATCAGTAGAACAAGATTTTTTTCATGTTGCAGATGAGGTGTATTAAAAACTTTTGGCGTCTCAAGGAAACGATTGAAATAAATGTTTAATTCTATATAGTGCTTTAATTCTTGAAGAAATAATATGAATAGGTTTTTCTATGAATTCCTGATAAGTCCCTTCGCAAGTTTCCTTGTGTAAGCGTGTAAGTGGGGTGTTATTTTAAATACATCATGATAATGAATGTACAGAGATTATTTTAATTTATTAAATTAATAATCGAATACTGATAACGCTAAACGTACAATAAAAAATCTGCATTAGAAACGTACAGTATATATTTTATTATAAAGCAACGAGACCAAAACCAGTACTAAAATATAAATAAAACTGACTAAAGTACATGCTACAAGACATTTTAAATTAGTTTATTATTTTGATATCATATAACATGAGAAAGTTTACTGTGAAATGACAAAAACGAAAGCATATAATTATACAACATAGCCTCTTTTATGTACAAACTTCAAAGAGTATGCATAAAGGTGGTATAAAATTCGTATGATGGGCGGCGATCACTTCGCGTGACGGTTGTTACCTTGTATAGTAAAAGAAAGGCGTGCATGAATCTAAATAAAACTAAGATTAGTACACAACTTCATGTGCTAACGAATGAATGAGAAATTGAGATTAAAATCATAATTTCTAAGTTGTTATACAAAGTATCTAAATCTCATTTATTAATTAACGTTATTAACAATCTAGCGAAAATAAATAGTCAGCCTTGTTAATTTAGCAGTATGTTGGCATTGCTTTTAAAAGGACGTGACTTTGGTACACGTCCTTTTTAAAGCAACGTTTGTATTTTCTTTTTTTTGTTATTTAGTAGGAATGCAATAACTATTTATTGCAATGGAGGTTTGCGGAAGGGATAGCTTTTTGCACTTATTAACGACAATACAACTCCCACGAGAAATTGCCGGAATCAGGTGGGGTGGCAAAAATACAGGGGTTGGGATATTACACCGACCTTACAAAAACTGTAGGAATAGGTAATAACATCAAGTGCAGTAGAAATCAATAGTTACGTAGGCTAGTAGACAGCACAAAAAAAATCTCTGTTAAAACTTTTCAAAACATTTCTAGGCAATGGTTTTTTTAAGTTTTGTGTACAAATAAATAATAGTTATATGATTCATAAAAAACAACCGAACTTAAATATTGCTTGTCATAAAAGCTAAGAACGATGTATCAGGTATACCGAAGTCAAATGTTCGTTTGTATAGAATCTTCTTATTTCTTTCAATTAACATAAAAGTGGATTAATAAAGATGTATAAGTATATACAACACCATACAGAACTGACAGACTTATTTACATACATTTAAAGTTAAGTAATGTAAGAAAATGCATTGATAGACACTAGATATGACAGGAAACATAGGTACTATCTATTTAGTATGCCATTGCGACTAACGAGACGAGTAAAGCAAATAGTATAAAAACGCACTCTTTTCAAAGTAAAAGCTCAAATAAAATTCTGTACTATTTCAGTGCAAGTTGCCCCAGGTCGGTACTGTGTTCAGGTCGTATAAAACAATAAGTTATTCATGGTTATAGGTACTATGTAGGCGCGGTGAGCGGCGAGCTCGAGGGTTGAAGGGGGTCAACGGCCGAGGCGAGACCTGACGTCAGCCGCCCTACAGCTGTCTATGACGTCACCTCCCGCCCTGGGCGCAGTCACAACAAACCAAAGCGTGTTCTAGTCCTTAAATCTTAGGATTCAATCTCGCAGCGACGTAAATAATGTGGTTACCACATGTCCTCGGGTATGATATTAAAATTCGATATCGTGTGGTTACCTACTTGTACACATGACGTAAACGAACACTTGTGTTGATGAGAACTTATTAGGTTTAATTTCGGCAGCTGATAAATTTAATAAATATTTTATCGCATCTGTCTTTGACCTCATCGACTAAATTGTTAAAGGCAACGATAATTTCTTTAGTTTGCTATCCAGAGAAATTACCTCTTTCTTGAGATTTAATTTTAATTTAACATTTTCAACCATGATTTGAATAAAAAGAAATTCTCAGACTAATAATTGTACTAAACTTATAGAAAAATTAATTTGGGGGAAATAAGTAAGTAAAAATCATAAAGAACTTGAATGTGCTTGTGATAAATAAATGAATTGGCAACATTTGTCAAAAGTTAACACACGAAATCTAAATACTTTGTGAATGATTAATGGACCACATTGCGAAGTAGAAATGCATTAAATGAAGATCAAGAGCCATAGAAAGTACCGTAGCGGTGAGTAGCGGGATAGCCGTGATTTCTCATCATAACAGACGCCGTACCGTCAACGTCTCAACGCCCGCAACACCAAATTGTGCTCTCAAATGGCATAAGAATATTTCACGTACAACTGTACCTAATGACGGTACGAATGGCAACGGTAATAGTATGAGAATCCGGCCTGTAAACAGTATTTAGCATGTAGATACTAGATTGAAATGAACAGATAGCCTAAACAATGAAGGTACCAGTATCACAATGCAAATAGTCTGCAACATTGTTAGAAGCATTTCAAAAACCCTCTTACTTGTTTAAATTTCCCAGCGATCCCTCATAAGATTTGAATCTGATCGAGTCTTGTACATTTTTATGATTCATGACTGTGTTTTTATTACAGCGCTGAATAGCCCGAATACCTACTGCGATGAGCCATATAGCGCTACTAACACAAAAAATGTTAGACAAAGAACAAGTCGAGATTTGGATTATATTATTATTCGTATATTTCCCAAGAGCAGAATGTTCAGATACATTTTGAAATTAAAAGACCCATAAACGTAAAGTGACATATTTAAAAAAGATTTGCCATAAGTTTAATATAGGTGCGGAGGTAATGTTGTTAATAAGCACTCACTAAATATGATATCAGATACCAACATTTAATTTCAGTTTTAGAATTTTTGAATGTGAATAATTACTCTAAAAATAAGTTCAATTGTCAGCACATTTATTAAACCGTCTGCAATACGGCCGATCGAGCAGGTGGCTTGTAATACAGCAGCTCAATAAGACATATAATTGTTACCACAATCAGGATTCAAAAGGATTCAATACAAGTACAAAACATTTTCTACATAAACAATATTCTTTTAAAATTGCACTATACACCATTAAAAAAATGAACATTTTAAGGAAGCAGTTCACCGTTGTTGCGTTTAAGCATATTAATTATAATTGTAAATGACTATTCGCTATTCGATTATGTATCTTATATAACGTAGGTATAGCAGTACTTTGTAATTAGAAACGACACAGAATTCCCTACCGGCGACCACCAAGTTTTATATCGCCAACTTTATAGTGCAGAAACTATTTAGAAAGCACGCGACTCGACGTGTGTTTAAGTTATTATCGATTCCACCCAACCATTATCTTTTATTTGTTTCAGTCTGTGACTTACAAACTGTAAATAAAGGAAAAAAAACGAAAATGTCTACATCTGTACTAAAGTAGAATCAGTTAATAATTGCAGAGCAGAACGAGCGCGAAAGAGCATTAAGTTCGTCGTGCAATAATCCCATTTCCACGGTAGGTTCGTAGACCTTTAACAGGTACCGTCCGGTGAAGACAGCATCACTGACGCTGCGACCGTCGAAAAAGTAAGCATACGTCCGAGGTACCAAGTTACCAACACACTTGGTGCTCGCGTGACGGACTGCCTCCCAACGGTAATTGCATTAATTAATCTAAGCGAAAACTAACCATTCACTGAAACCATCATGTTATGGTACCCTTCCATCATATTGCTGTAGGGATTAGTTTAATTAATTAGTCATACCACTAGTACCGTTGGAACTAGGAGCTGTCACGCGACGTTTAGTCACCAATTGGGAATTTGATCTTTTGTTATTAAGAAAAGATCTAAACACATTACTGAGATATTTATTTCTATTTTATTTGTCTGTAGCTACCTACGTTTAATTAAATTTTTAATGCCATAGGTACTTTTTTTTTTTTTTTTGCATATCTATATTTTGTAAAATCTAGCCAATTATAACTATTGATGAATATTATTCTCAGTATCTACGTATATACTAGCATCCTTGTTAAAAGCATTCAGATATTAAAAATTATGTACAGATAGGTAGGCACGTAACTCAAGCTGTTCTCTAAAGCCTGAAAGAAAATTTGATTCAAATTTGAAACATTTCAAAATTAACACTATATTTAAATGAGAGTTCCTAAAATTTTAACACCGTTCACTTCTATATGATTAAAGAATGTCACTATAAAGAGGTTATGTGAAAAGCCGGCCGGCTTCTGACAAACACCGGCGGCCGGCGCGGTGCGGGATAGGCGGGGTGGCGGACGGCTCGCGGGAGTGTGAATGTTGTCTAGTAGATAGACTCACATGTATACAGCACAGCGGAGTATAATCGCCGCTGGTCCTGGGCGGGCGGTGGAGACACTAAACTCAACTCAACGCGGGAGGGTCGCGGTAAGGCCTAGCGGCGGTATTGCGGTGGCCGTTCGCACGGCCGGTGTCTCGGGGACTGGCGAGTGGTGCGCGCTCCGCACAGAGCCCGGTGCAGCGCCCGAGCGCACCCCGCAGGCCGCGCACCCCTCCGACGCCCGCGCAAATTCGCCCTCCAGATGATACCCACTATTGCTGTTCGCAGAAACCTTCAGAGTCCATCACAGTACAAACTACATCAGACGTCTCCGTGCCTTCATATGTTATTTATATGGATTTTTTACATAAAGCATCCGTTTTCATTTCACTAATTGATTTTGCACGTGGAATGGTCCTCTTCACTGAATATGCAGCTGTATGATAAACTACGTAACTTGTAAGACGGTGATGGAATATAATGAAAGACGGCGGTGGCAAGCAGCCGACGACCCCGCGGCGGCCACGCTCCGCCGCGCGCTTGGCCGCCTCGCCGAAACTTCGCACTTCACTTTTCCACAAGGAACAGTTCAAAGGCGCACAAGCCGTGAAATTACCGCAAAACTGACGTAACAATAGTCGTCCCTCACTTCAATTGGTTTTAATCCGGTTACTCGAATTTCCTAGAAATACTTTTCCAACTGCCATAAAATTTTCATCAGCTAGTTATGTATTTACGTCAAACAGATTTTGTTTTGACTAACTTGGTTAATATTTCTATATGTATGAAAATATTTATCTAGCTGACACATAAACATTTTTTTTAAACGTTAGACGAACCGAATTTAATAGACTCTGAACTGGTTAACAGCTTATTTTACTTAAAAATCATGAAAAGCCATTTTTCAGGCACAAACGTAATTAATAAAGATCTTCAAGGTTATTTAATATTTGTGTTATTAAGTGTTATTCATTCTCGACACTCAAGACATAAGAATAAAGTCACATTAAAAGTTTTCTGGGTGTCTTCAAAGCATAAGGTTAAGTTTAATTTCGTCAGTTTAAATGGCTATGGTTAATTGATCTCAATTATACTGGCCCACATTAAGGAAATGGTATCATTTATGTTTAAAAATAGCATTCTGAATAACCGCAGTAATTCTATAAAATATTTTTTTTCGTCAATTATTAGTAAACAACAATTGCTGTTGTGAATCACCCATGGTACAATTAATCAGTAAAGAAAAATTATCCTCTTACACATCCACAGATCAGTTGTATATATTACCCGATGATTCACACCTGGCTTAAACAGAAATCTACTTCGTATTCATGGAGTCGACTTCGTGAATACGAACATTCACAATAGGATTCATTGAAGAACATTAAAATATTGGCGAAATATTATCAATACATCACGTACACGATAAGAAATATAAATCTGTACCTATTAATTAAGGTAATTATTACTGACTAGCTAAGTGTCCGCTTTTATAAACTGGACAAAAAGGAAACATTGATAACAAAGTTTCATGTAAAACTTGCATTCATTTAACGCGCTACTCTCATGGAACAATTAGCCTTTCTAATACAACCTTGCTTTCGCCAAACTCAAAAATGTAAATGAAGACAGTTTCTTGCAAAAGCATAAAATTTCGTTTTGATATGGATGATATTATTATGAAAAAGTAGGGTATTGATTTCAAATAATGTAACAGATTGAATTTTCTTATAACTTTTTAAGCGTGTTTCAGATACACATTTTTGTTTAATGCTCAAATAACTGTTTGTTAACTGTATATTACGTGTAACTCAACATAGCACTTTATACGTAGATTGGTCGGTTATTGAACGATGGGATATAAAGTAGTCGTGGATAATCCAATCTGGTAAACAATGGAGACATTACAAGTGTCCGGATAAGGCAAGCTTTGGACCACATCGGGTCGTGCTGAATCTCAATGAGGCGCTGAAGCTTGAGCAAACTCTGCTCCATACCTTCATAAACGTCTAGTTCAAGCCATTATGTTGTACCCTTACGACGATATGAGTCACATTTGCTTCAATGTATGTTGCTCAATCCGATTATAGAATTCACTGTTAACCAAGTTACTTGCATTGATGTTTTTTAATTCTTCTGATAGGTGTGTCTGTAAATGTACTAAACCATGATTACTGACTATGAAATATATTAATTTTGTTAAAGCTGTGAATAGTTCTCTCTGTAAACACTTCTCAATTTGATGATAACATTCACAGTTAGTTGGGCGGATGTCACGATGTCTTTAGTGGCGATAGCCTCTGTCTCCAATTACGGGGCATTACTCATACGTGTAATATTTATTAATAAGTGTACATTTTATAAAAAAAAACATTGGTGGTGATCGCGTGATCATGTACGAACAATTAATGGCTAATTTTTCAGTGGATACAGCCATTTTCCCAATTCGATAGTCCGACTTAACGGATGATTTTAACGTTTTTAAAAATTTGGAAGCCGAATGTACAAAAATTGAGCGGTCAATGAACTTGTGTTCGCAAAAACAACAGTCTATTGTGGAAGTGCGTCGCACGAACCGAGTTAGACCGTGTCGCGGTACTAAGCGCATATAGTTATATGCGGTTAGCAAACACTCAAACTATACACAATATTTTTATATAGGTAATAAAACTTGGGTATAATGTATTGAGTAAATTTAAGGTTCGAGATACCATACTCAAGTTTGGTAAACCATGATTCCAATAATATAAATTAAGTGACAGAAAAGTTTTAAAATCTGTACCGTCATCAGAAACTTAGGACAAGAAAACAAACAGTTCGTAAGATCTCTATTCACTTGTCAAATCACACAGTCTAGACCCCGGCAGCACAAAGGCGTAACGCAAACATAGATCAAACCGTACATCGTTCAGTAAACATAGACTACTATGTAAACTTATGTAAAACATATTTTAGTCTTACTTTCCAGTAAAAGCCTAAAGAAATAAATAACATTTTGATTATAAATGACTAAGGCAATTTACAAGTATTTGTGTAACTCTAATTGAAACATTCTTATAGATTTTGACAAGGAACCGCGGTTCTGTTTTTATTACGGCTAGTTATGATTACAATCAATAATATAACACACATGAGCAGAAAGTGAACTTCTAGAATAGAATAAAATTAAAATTAACCTACCAGGAATACACAAAGCAATGAAAAAAATGCAAGCTTTACTAGGCAACAAAAAATATTATTCTTTTGGTACAATAAATTTAAATTTTATGCATAGGAATCATAAATTCAGAGTCAAATGTAACGGGAGTATTCAACACGTTTGATGAATCTTTATTTAAAATAATACGTTAAATACGAATCGTCTACCCGCTGAGGTATATAGACATAACTGTCTGTATGCATGAATCTTCAAATAAATTAAGTTCGACTAAAGACGTATTCGTATGTGTAATTTCTACCAATTATCGTCATTGTTCCAATCGGGCAACGCTAGACTAGACATAAAACAAGGTATTCCTACCATATATGTATATAATTTTAAAAAATTGAACAGTGCTGTGCGGTACAGGTGCAGAATCAGCAATGCCTCGATAAAAATTTTAATTTATTCCGTCATGTTATCATATGAAATAGCTCGCAATTATGGTTCATTTCATCGAACAGTCAAAGCAGGGAAAATGATTGCAAAAAGTAGTTTTATAGTGTGCTACAAAAATCCCTGACCAATATTCAAATTACGTATTTATTGTACATACTATACGAGTAGTTTGCTATAATAAAAAGTCACTATAGGTTTAATTAAATAACAATGTAAATACGAAATATTATTAATAAAAAAAATTGTCATAATAAATATTTTTAGTCTATTTCTATTTATTCTTTATTGTACTCACTGAACACACACATATATATATATATATATATATATATATATATATATATATATATATAAGTTACAAGGAAATGTCATGTACAAAGGCGAGCTTAACCCAAAACTGAGTTTTCTTCTAGCAAACCTTGAGCGAATAGAGGATAACAGAGAAACGTAAGGGCGCAGTCATGCGTACTTAGCAAGCAACAGACAAAAGCATAAAAATGAAACAAATACCGACATTAATTAGGATAGTAAAATATATTATACGTATAAATACATATATATACATACATACCAAGGGTCTGATTATTGAAGGGACAGATAATAAGTAAGATAGTCGTTTTCTTTCTACTATCTCAAATAAGTGTTTTTCAGTTTCTGTTTTTTTTTCATCAGTAAAGAGTTTGCGTTATTGGCACTTCGCCGTCGATATGTGTTTAATAATGACGTCACTAATATTACGAGTGTGAAGATGAGCAGCGCTTGCGCTAAGTGTGGGCGTAATGCATTCTGCAGCATTGTTTATGTGTGAACTCAATTAGACAGTTTCCTATGTTGTAGCAGCTGCGTCTCGACCACTTATGTATCTACCTATTTATAAATAACACAAATAATATTTGGAAATATTTGTTTTTACTGTATACTATATATTTTCTATTCTTAATGACTGACTGAAGGATTTATTAATTAAAGACGTCAACATGTTAAAAAATGAATGAGGGTTTCTCCCACCATTGTTATAATAGAGACAATAAGGTAAATTAGTACTTAAAATGCTTTTGATAAGCTATTCGAAAGGCAGGCTCACACGACAATTCATTAGCGTCAGTAAACCTAGTTGTCAAGTTTACACGACGAACGTGGATGCGGCATGAACTGCGCCTAGCTCCCACTTTTCCCTTCGACTTGCAACATATAAAGTGAGCTTACATTACATTTCAACACAGTACATGTCGTTAACCTGTATACAAATCACTGTTTACATTACTTACCTACCTGTACTTAAAACATCAACCAAGTGATAATCAACACTACACAGCATATCCACTGCAGGTAAAAGATCGGCAGTGGCGGTGTAGTTAACTACAAAGTAAGATGCAAACAAGTTTTCCATTTCTGATTTTTAAAAGTAGGTACATTATCTCCTAGAACTGTGAACTATATCATTCTATTACCGTATACATTATTATGTAATCAAGTAAGTTTAGACTCAACAAATGGAATAAAGTAAAATGTGACGTTATGGGCACCCTAAGGTAAAATATTTACAAAATCAGAGTGGATAGGTGACCACAGGACCTTCTCTGACTCATAACTTCATATATTATAAAACTTTATAGTAGGCTCATTTGGATGGCTACTAGGCATGGGACAAAATCACAGTGAATAGTG